ACTAGACAAAGTAGTTATAGTTATCCGTACTATATCATCCAGGTGTACACGAAATATTTAGCTTTATTCAGACTCTTAACAACCTTTTCGACATTATTTTTTGGGGTCGATACTCCAGCTTCCTAGCCCGCTATTCTGCTTTGGAAAAGCTGTTTCAGTTGGCGTATGCTATTGCCCTGATGTCCCTGTCTGTCCGTTCCCAAAGAAGAACATGGGCCAGTCTGAAATTTTCAGGGTGTCTTTGGGGTCACTCCTGCCTCGGGTAAAGCCAGCAGTCTAGTTATCTCACTCTATGATGAGGTTTCGGCTGGTTCAGGCTATGTCGTTGTCGTTAGACTTTCATGGCTAGGGCGTGCTAGAACAACATAGGCAAAGTGTATGAGGTTATACTTTGTCTTCACAGTGAAATATAATTGTCCTCGTATATTTTTTTTACATAGTTTCTTGAAGTTCCGTGTTCGAGTACAATTCCTATTGAATTGCCCTGGATAGTCTTGAGGTGCTAGGAATCGTCATATTGGAACGCGTCGTGGAACAGACTGCTGGGAGTATCATTCTCGTCCGTACTCATCAGCCCCCCTGCCCCCTTTCCCCGCCCCTCGCGCCTCATCTCCTGCCCTATGCTGACTGTACAGCGGCGACGCGCCTCGAGTGGGCCAGTATAAAAGCCAGCGCAGCCCGACAGCGGGCATCAGTCTACCTGCAGACCGAACTAAAACCGCCACCATGTACAAGACCCTGCTCCTCGTCTTCGCCGTCCTGGCTGTGGCTTCGGCCCAGTACATCGCCTCCCCCTACGTTGCCACCGTCGGCGCCTACCCCGCTGCCTACTCTGCCTACTCCGCTTACCCTGCTTACTCTGGAATCAGCGCCTACGGCGCCTACCCTTACGCCTACTCAAGTCTTGGCTATGGCTCTGCATACCTGTACCGCTAAATCAAAATGTAAGTTTTCTATTGATACCTATATGATTCATAGCGCTCGACCGAGCAGCACCCAACTTGATGTATAAATACACGAAAAAAAAAAAAGACTTTGTTCTGGGGATCAGTTCTGTTTGGTAGGCTAAATTCGATAGCTGGAATCGAAAATCCGATACTCACAAGCAGGAGTTGGTTGTCACGACCGGACACTTGTACGAAGAGAACCAAGCTGGGGTTTGTTCTATTCGTACAAGTGTCCGGTCATGGCAACCAACGCCCGGTTGTGGGTATCGGATTTTCGATTCCAGCTGTCGAATTTAGCCTACCAAACATAATAGATCCTGACAACGAAGTCATTTTTTTTCCGTGTACCAGTAGAGCTTTAATATCTTATTCTAAAGGATTTTATGATTAAGGGTTGAATTTTTTTTTTTTTTTGATGACGAAATAGTGAATGTTAGTAAAAAAAAGTTGACTTCAGCTAAACCTTAATGTGCTTTAAGTAACTTTGCACTTTTGGACGTGTGTATTACTTGGCATATAGAACTAAAGATTTGTTCAGCCAGAAGTGTATAGCCACTGCAGTGTTAACGTGAGTGCAACTTCAAGTTGAATACTTGCAGGTTTGCAGCTACCAAGTTGCACAGTTGCAATTATTCAACTGGAGGTACACATTTACAACAGTTAAGCATAGTTACATACTTAGTTTATCAGTGTGTCATACTTTTCTGCTTTAATGTTCAAAATTCCTTTCAAAAGATGTATTGCATTTAAACTACTTTTGTTTGTTTCCATACAGATCTCAACTCTTTGACTTGGACTTCTCGCCTAACGATCCAACACAGTCGTCTGCAGAATGACATCGCTGGATACCTACACACAACTTTTCGTCCCCTCTAAACAATTTATAAAATAAACAGTGTCGATTTTGTAAAAAAATATCGGTTTTACTTCTTCACTTTTTTCCCTTACAACACACCCGTTTGTTACTATTTTTACCAAGAAACCTTCTACTCCCTTAAAAATGGTATGCCGCAGGTATCAGAGAGGGCGAGTATTTGTCAAAGTGCGACGAGTATTTTAGAGTATGCCCGTTCCTAGGGCTTGGGTGTTGTAGCCACAATTTTTGAAAGAGTACTTATTAGCGAGTAAGATCAAGTTGTCGCGGTTTGCCATAGTCTGAGGCAAGTAATCATGCTCAAAGATACGTCGGTAGAATGTTCAAAGTTACCCTGTAGTGATAATTTAAGATGGGACACTTATAATCAGGTCCAACATAGACTGCTAACCCAAGTCCATTTCAAGAGCGTTGTCCTTTCATTTTCTTTACTGCGGTCTTCAATTTTTCATTAAAATACCTCGTATCTAGCGCATGGGATGAAGGAAAAGGGAACGCATTCCCATTCCGATTCCTCCTCCCTCCTGCTCGAGAATGTTCTCATCCCGACGATTCTCGTCTCGCTATCAGGGAGACCGAAGGCAGAGAGCGCGGGACTGCCGTGCCGTCTGCAAAGAATAAGGGGCGTAACTGTTCGTTTTCGACAATCTGAATGTTTGCAATGCAGTGAGCCTAAATGTAAAGGCACGATTTTGTTCATGAAACAGCAACTTTTCGCTGTGCACCTCCAGACTAGACAAAGTAGTTATAGTTATCCGTACTATATCCAGTAAATAATTTGTCGTTTCGAGGCTCAGCACAGCGTGCGCTCACGCCAGTGTGTGGCATTCGAGGGCAGGGTAGGTGCGGGGAGGCAGCGGCAGTCAAACGCTGAGCCCCACCCTGCCCCCGCTTCCCCGCTTGCCTGCTTACGCCGGAAACGCGTGAAAACGACAAAATTCTTAGCAGGATATAACAAAGAAGTATATGATCTTTAACAAGTTGTGTAATGGGAATGGGATCCGTCAAACTTTACTTTCCACCGCCACCTTCTACGCAAGAGGGAAAAGTTCCAGGTGTCTCAAATTTTGACCGAAAAATTTCGTTCACAATTTTTTTCATCAGAGAGCTCTGTTCTACAACTTCAAGGTCGAGTTTTTGGTCTTCGAGCCCCTAGACCGATTTTTACTTTTTCACTAGGGTCGTACCTTAAAAATTGTCAACAGTTTCAAAGTAATTTCTTAAGACGATCTCTTTCTGAATAGACCGCTTACGCTGAGAGATCATCCAGAGAGTACGCCCGCCCGCCATACGCCGTCACGAACCTATAAAGTCATTCACTGGTACCTTCTTAAAGCTCTCATAGCCCCTGATGGGTAGGCAATGTATTGCCTGCACTGCGTTCGTGTACTGCGTAGTGCCTACCATGTGTCTCACAGGCGCCGAGATTACGAAAGTTGCTGAAGGAGGAAGAAAAGACGTACTCTGTGCACGCTTAATCTGTCTGAATGTTTTGATGCAAACGTTTGTGTTGAATAAAACCTATGTTCTGTAACGCACAAATTTGTGCGCAAAATTGAGTGCTTTTGTACAAATGAAAGCACAAAAGTGTTCAAACCCACACAAAGATTTGAGTTCGTAAAAATTGGGGACTAAAATTCAGTCGCAAACATTCAACACGAAAGTATCTTAAGTCCAGTTTGAGGGCCGCACCCTGGTCCTAGAGCTGGACACTGGCTGAGCACGCGATGTGCAGCGTGCCCTTGTTCTGATCTGCTCAGACAGTCAAATGGCGCGCTCGCTTGGCTAGTTCCGGTGTGTGCCGCGCGCAAGCTGGCCGGCGGGGCAGCGTCCGCCCGCTCCGTGCGGATGCTCCCGGACGCCAAGGTTCAGATTTTGGCCGGCCAGCGCGTCTCGCTTCCTGGCCTTCGGGCGGCGGGTGCGTGCCAAGTCCGACGCTAGCTTCAGTGACGGTCTGCGATTCCGTCACGGCGCTGTTTGCTGCCAGGGAGCTGCAATGGGCCATGGGAGCCGTCCCCAGCGCAGCCGTGGCGCAGTCTGGCATGAAGCCGGCGGGGGGTCACGATGCCATGCACCCGTCGTTGACCGAAACACATGAACAAGAGGAGAACAACCAACAGCCACTGGGGCGGTAGGGGGCGAAAGGTGATAGAGATGTTGTGGTTGGTCGAAACCTTCCGGTCGTTTCTTCTTTCTGTCGAAAATATCAACAGCTTCAAACTAGGTTAGATGGTCCTTTATCCCATAAACTAAACAACCATCAATGTTGTTAAGTACAACTTAATAAAAATGAAACTTCCAACTTTTTTAAAATGAGAAGTGTTTATGTTGTCTAAGTGGATGCTATTTTAGATATGGCGTCGTAATCGCTCATTCGGGCAACATTCATATTTTAAAACGTCAGCAAGGTTTTTCTTTTGCAGCTGTACTTATTTTCCAATAAATCCAATTAGTCAATCAAATCAAAATTGGTTAAATTTGGATATTTCTGATATCACGGAGGGCTGATGCTGACAGTCGTCGGACTCTCGCTTTTTGTTATTTTTTAAAAATATTGCTTGCGTATTCAATTCCATCAGTTACAAGGTGCTAATGACTCGTACTGAACGCTGCATGGCTATCACGGCCCGCTGCACTCCCGGGTCAAGTCCTGGGCTCCCTGGCAACACACAGGCAGGACTCAGCAGCACCTTTCATCGGGTGCTAGTAAGTAACATTAGTGCTTTCC